GAGGGTGAGTGTGGCGAGCTACAAATACCACATAATTTTCACGATATTTCGTACGATTAATCTGTGTGTAAGGCTTATGATTTTTCGACGAAGCCATATATATCGCGAAGCCCCTTTTCTCTTACAAAACCTCAGTCACCGTTTCCCTTTTTAACTAATTTTGTCACTTTCCAAGCTGTGAGATCACAGGAAACCGGAAAGAAATCATTTTCAAAACTTAATTTGTTTCACATTCTAAATTTTTTGAATTTTTTGCTATAAAAAAGGCTTCATTTAAATGAGTGATGAAAAAGTGTATAGCGTATGCCCTTTCTTCTAATCTTTCCTTGAGTTTATCATTACTTTAGGCTAAAAGCTTGTGACAACTGCCTCGTAAAGTTGTTCAGCCACATTGAAAACATTTCTCGCCTTGCATTTAGTTATTGAAAATGATGATAATTTGTTGGAGCAAGTCAGGAAACGTCGGCCTTGTTGGACTTCGTTTGAAGTCCTTCTGTTAAATTCGTATGGGACCTCATTTCGTTTAGAGATTAGGGAGATGGAGAGGTGGACTCATGGAAAAGGTTGGGGTATTCTGCATAGCCAAAGTTACATAGCAGTCTCATTTAGTGGGCCCATTGTCCAGCCAGCGACACAGTCTTTGATTATGGCACTTGTGAAGCAGGGCCTTTTTGCGAAAAAACCTCAATTCTGAATGATAAAAGGCTAAATTGGCTCCTCTTCTATTTTAGACTTACGCCTCCTATAATGATGTTCATTGGATTTTATGTAATCATGGATCCTTTTGTCCATGGACCATGGACTCAAGCATCTTTTAATATTGTGGAAAATGGGCCAGAAGCATGCAAGAAATACTGGTGGCGCAATCTTCTTTACATAAACAACTTCTTTGACGTCGAAGAGGTAAAATCCTTTATGCGTACGACCAGATGAGGTTTTAAACTTCAGAATTGCTATGCCGTAACATGGTATCTTGCCGTTGATACCCAGCTCTACTTTGTCGCACCAATCTTTCTCATCACACTTTTCATTTCTCCAATCGCGGGTAATCCTTTGCATTGAATACAAGACTTCGGCGAAAATTTTATACCAGGATTTCTGCTCATCGGCGCATGTGTTGCGGCCAGCGTCGGATATGTTTATGCAATCACAATCAAAAACTCCTTCCCTGCTATCATTTTTGGTTTATTTTCTGC